TGCAACTGTTCAACAGCCGTCTAGAGAGTAACAGCTCACCCTACTGCACCTGTGCATGGAGGAGAGGAGTCAAGACTCACTTGACAAAAATTCCGTGAAATAATGTATGTCTTCACTTTACCCTAAGTTTTAGGTGTTTGTTTTTAGTTTACACTAAGCTTTCAGGTTCTTTTTTCCTACTGCATGTCCTCAGTGCTATCAGTTACACATGCTCGGGCCTTCCGAACAACCACTCACTACAGGCCTTCTGTGGTAAACACAAAGAAAATGCTGAACATGTAAATTGTCCCCCCTTTATTTGCCACAGCTTGGAAACTTGTCAGCCTTGACAAAAAAGCACAGAACTGACCTGGCCCAGCTTTCTCCAAAGGGCTGAGGAGACTGCAAGTGTGCTTGTCAGATGTGGCTTTAACACCGGGCCTTTAACACCTCGTGGCCTTGTTACTGCTTGGAACCTGAAACTCTTCTCGGGGAAGGGCTGATGCACCAACCGACGCACGGATCTGGGCCTCGGGAGTCTGGAGTTACATTCTGTCTTTGCCACAAACCTGGGCAAGGTCAAGGCTCTACCCTCCCGTGTCTCATGTGTAAGGCAGGACCAAAAATGCTGCTTCTCCTCCCTCTAGATGAGGTCAATTTCGGCTGCGTGCTCTCTGACGCCCTTCCTCTCTTAATAAGCACTAGGAAGGACATCTCAAACACTGAGAGATAGCCTTGCTTGGGACTTTTAAATCAACAAATCAGAATTCCTTAATTCTTACTAAACCCAGCATTGGCTGTTGCAGAGTAAATGGTGGTAATTCCAAAATGTATTTTGAGGACAATGGACTAAATAGTTCCGCAGGACTAGAGTCACCCCAGTAATGTTGCTATAGCTCTGATGTGCTGCTTCTTTTAATACAAAATATTTTTCGTAATTACAAGTGGAATTTAGTAATAAACATGGCTGATAATGAAGTATTACTAAATGCAAAATTAGCTTGTTCACAAAATTCTCAAAAACCACAGTTTTTCTGATACACTGCATTTCAGAAACACTCAAAAATATCATCAGTATATTTTGACAACTACTTTCTGGAAACAGATATCAGGTGCCCTTAGAGAAATGTTCTGAATAGTCTAGAACATCCCAAGGTTTAAAACAATTTGCTTGACTTTTAGCAGGAGCCAAACATGAACGGGAGGGGGGATGATGAAATAAGCCAAGGAGGGCATGGGGGCAGGCCCACACAGGTCCAGAGAACTTAAAACCAGAAGTTTTCTCTTTTGTTCTGCTGTGACTATAAAATACACTTTTGATTTTTTTTTCCCTCTCTGAACATTTTTAAACATAACAAAGAAAAACAATTGTTTCAGTTTCTCACATGAAGGGGAACATTATTATATGACATTCTTTCCTAGAAATCTTTTAAATCTTATTTATTAACAGAATTAATCTGATCATAAGCTGGCTGACACACAAAGTGTTGAAATATGTCATCTTCAAACCATGTTTTGCAAATGAAATTTTGGTGTTAATTCAGGGGATGTAACAGAATCCTAGAATCTGCAATATGAGCCAAACAACAAATGTGGTTCCTCTGGCAAAAAAAGCATCATTTTCTCCCTTTTCTGTTGTGGGTTTGTCACTGCATGCTCTCCATCATCCATTTCTTTCCAGAAACTACTTTTTGATGTGGAGTCCCCACTTGGCCATCAATTTCTACATTAAAATGCTCTGAACATGTTTTGCAGTTCCAATCCCAGGAATTGTTTTGCACTTTCAATCCCAGGATCCAAAAGGATTTCATGAAAAAAAAGAACTAAGGCTGTGATTTCATAAATAACCTGGAGGTATCTCTACACCACAATCAACTTCATGCTGGAGCTGAGTCCAGCCAGGAACCATGGCCAAAAACCAGCAGCAAAGCCAGGTAAATGCTCCGACCATTTGACTGAGCTGAGCCCCGGGTTGTTGTGGCCAGATTGCTATCGGGATGCAAGAAAGCTCATTTAAATTTAGCCTTAATAAGTTTACACTACACTTCAATGACCAGCAGAGCTCCTGCACAGACATTTCTCAGGAGCTCAGCACCCAGACCCTTACTGGAGGGTGCCTTCTGAAATCCCAGTCTGAAGCATCACAAATGGGTTAACAGACATGGCAATTTAAGCAGCTTTTCCAAGCATCTGGAGGGCATTAATATAATTGTGCTCTCAACTAATCCTAGGGTCTAAACCAATGGTTCCTGATCTTTGAAGTGTAAGCACATTAGAAGAGAGGCATGGCACAGAAGCAGGTGAGCTTTGCTGGATTTGCCCCGTGCCAGCCCAATTCAGTGTCCTCGTACTCCCCTCCAAAGAATGCAATTCCTGGGAAGTTCAAAGCGAAGATCCCTGTGTGGCACTGCAGGGTGAGCTGTGCTTTTGGGATCGCTCCCTGTGCCAGGACTGCCGTAATCCCAACAGGCTCAAACTCAACGGCAGTGAGAAGGAGACCACGGGAGACACTCGGTGTCCAATGCCGTGGCTGACCACTGCTGCTTAGCTCCTTGCTACTAGACACTGCAACACGATGGCGTTACCTTGTAAGTCACAAGAAAGGATTACGATGAGCCAAAAATATTACCCTGGTTTTATGACTCTGATGGCACAAACTATGACTTCCCTCAGGCCAGACAAATCACAGTGCAGCTCCAAATGCCAAGTACTTCGAGCACTTGTCTCAAACTGACCCAAACTGAGGCCCTCTGAAGCCAAAAACGTTGCTCAGATGGAGTTTTCAGGATGTCAAAAGAAGCAAAATGTTCTTAAAAGCTTCATTTCTTCTTTTTCGCTACTGTTTAAGGTAGTATTTAAAAACAAATAATCAAGATGAAGGAGACAGATACAGTTTTGAAATATCTTAGAAACCTTTAACTAGCAAAGAGAGTCAGGAATTTGAATTAACATCAAAATCATGTATTATGGCATCCACATCTGGATATCACTTCACTGACTAAATCCAAAACTTTTCCCAGAGCCAGTTGGTTTCTGTAAAAATGTATTTCTCCCTTTGAAAGGAAATAATAATTGGAAGGTCTTACAGGAAGTCAACCCAATACCATATAAAGGAAATTGCAATCTGTTCCTCAATGGTAGTTTAAATCAATGTTATATTTAGCAAATGCCCTTTTTTTAACGGTAGTCTTTGCAATAGCTTGTATTATATTAAGTTCTCTCAAAGGCTTATGCTATATTAAGAATTGCTTTGTCTTTAGAATGTTTCTTTAACCATCCCTCAAGGTCTTCCGCTTATCCTAGGTTAGATGATGTTCCCCATCTCTAGGACGTCTAGGATTCCACCTTCATCAAAAGCAACTTTTTTTGCCCCAGGGTAATAAAAATCAAAGTATTTCTGCATATGCTCATCTAGAAGGATGTGTGGTTCTTAAAAATACTAAGTGATTGAATATTAACAACACCTCTTTCTGCTTCCAGAAGCATACACAGCAGTTTACCTTACTAAGAATTTTCTGTTCGGTTATCTGGCTTTCAGCAAATTTCCATTAAATCAGTGGTTTCAAAGGAAGATTTTTTTTTTTTAAAGTACAATATTAATGTCACTAAACAAATTTCAAGAACTCCAAGCATAACAGCTCCTGCAAGTTCTTTCCCGAATTGACCAAATCTTACAAAACATACTCACAGAACCAGCACTCGATGATCTCTGAGGTCCCTTCCAACCACCACAATTCTGTGATTCTGTGATTCTGTAAAAACTCTGGGACACTGCTTAGAAACTGCAGAATTCCCCTTTGGTTTTTATATATTTCCTTACATTTTGAGGTAATCATGTCAAAATTAGGTTTATGATAACTGAACACAGGTTTACACACAACCCATCATCATTAGCATTCAAAAGCTGTTTAACAACAGCCAGATTATTTCCACTGAATGTAACTTGGTTTAAGTGAATCCATAAATTCAGCAGCAGCACTTGCATCAGGTGCTAAGAAAAAAGCTGGCAAATGGTCTAATATACATATATTGCAACTATGCAACTCAAGAAGGTACAATGCATGATAACTGCCAACTGACAGTGTATTTCCAACTCCATGGAAGACTATGCCGCTGTCACGGGGTTTCTGTTTTCCAGGTGGTCACTGGAGAAGAGGACAACTACAAATTGTACATTTTCCTAATTGGAAAAAAACTACCTATACCACAAAATAATGTGATTTAACTATTTGCAGATCCTAGTGATAAGAAAAGCTACCTCTCGTTTGGATACCAGATTATGGCCATCATCTGCACGGTCGTACCTTTGAGAGAAGAGACTAAAACCAGACCAGAAAGAAAATTCTGTTCCTCAACACACACACACACACAAATACAGACATTTCCCTTGAGAGAAAAAAAACGCACTATTAAGCAAAAAGAACACTGCATATCGTGAGATAGTAATGTCAACCTAATTTCCTTATGCAAATCATTTGAATATAGAGGACAACATTAACCGTACCGTAATTGAACATCAGATAGTTACAACAATTAAAAACGCCCATGGTTTCTTTGCAGCACAAAAAGTTAGAAAAACTGTAGGAACTCATTTTGTCATGAGTTCCTAGATTTAACAACGCAATACTTTGTTTGGTATGAAAAAAAAAATGGAATTTCCTTCTTCTACACAACTTTTAATGAAGTGTTTTGGTAGTCAGCCCTAGCAGATTACAGAGTTTGAAAAGCCTTCCAGGCTCTTTACTACTCTGAAAGGAAAGTGTTTAAAGAATAATTCTACTTTGAACCCAGGTGTCAAAACAGAGTCCGAATACTCAGAACCTGCAGCCTCTTAAAGCCTTTGTGAGCAAGGCCAGAGACGCAGGCGCGTGGTCGGCGGGAGGACGGGGCGACACCAGAGCCCAGGTCCAGGGAGTGGAATCGGTGTGTGCTGTGTGATACCTGCACCCATCTGCCCACTGCACAACTTTTAATTATGCTCAAACAGCCAGTAGCACCAGTGACTAAAATCCCCAGATTACCTTGATTGCTCTGTCATTATCTGTAATCAGCTGCTGCTTCTTATCTTCAAACTTTTGTACAACTTCCTGGAGCCGCTGCTGCTGCCGGCTGTTCTCCTCCGCCAGAGAGGAAACGGTTGTCTTCAGTTCAGCTATGATCTAAAACCAAAACAGCACGCTAAAGCTCTCTTCAGTAAAAGGCATGTATTTTGCATGTTTTCATGCTTGCTACAAGCATGGCATTGGCAAACTTTGCTGTGCAAGCTAAATATTTTAAATTAACATATTACACATCAGCAAGCATGAAATTCCACGCAGAGAAAAAGGAATACAGTAAAGCTGCAAATGACAAAAATTGCTGAACACAAAATATTTGGAAGGGGTTTCCACTACGACATTCCAAAATATTTACTCATGAGAACAAAGTACATCTGTGATCTTCAAACTAGAGCAAGTTCCCAGTCCTCCACGGCCCTGAAACCAGTCCTGCCCATTTACAGAGCCACGGGGTCCCCTTTTTCTAGAAGGACACTTTATAGCTTGATACTGCAGAGAAGAAAAACGCCTGAATTCACACACTGGGCTGAAATTTAAACTTGACAGTGAAATTTCTGAGCTGCTGAAAGGGACGTGCTCTGCTGAGCAATACAGTGGGGTCCCGATTCAATGTCCAGGACCCTTAAACTAGACCTTTTACATGATTCTCTCGTGATTTGTTGAAATTTACTTGTTTCACCTTTTTTATCACTATGGAAAGTCATAACTAAAGTCGATACTTCAGGCTTATTTACAGAATTTTATGCTGACAGGTAAGTCATTACCCAGCAAAGCACTTAAACACCTGAAGGTACTGGAATCACTGGCTAAGGGGAAAAGGATTGATTAAAACTCTACTGTAAATGTATTTATCTGCTTTACCAGCTGAAAACCCCAGAATATAACAGAGATTATGAGTAAAACCTACATGGATATTTCTGTATTTATCTTCCAAACACACACTAAAAAAGATAATATACTGATAAAAAGGAAGGCTATTTGCTCTTAATGAGATCAATGGGCCAAAGTTTAGAGATTCTCTGGATAGGTGTAACTGTCAGAATTAAGCTGTATCACCGCTTTTGCAATGCAGATCATCATTTACATGAGAAACAATTTGCACGACTGTGGCTCTGCTCAGTGTGTAACATGCAGAGAGAAAGCGGGAGAAAGTCATGGATCATATAAATTATTAAACTAACAACTTGAGGCCATACAAACCTCTACCACTTTGTTTATGTTCCATTTTGTCACATTTTAAAAAGAAAACAAAATAACAAACCCTTTAATATAACCCAAAAAATTGTAATTCAAGCTTTTACTAGGTTAACACCCTGGACTAACATAGGAGTTCTGAAATGCATGCAAGGAAATTTCAACGTGAATTGATGGAGAAAGATCTGCTTTGTGCAGTACTTTGCAGAGAAAAAAAATATCTGTTTACTTTGTATAAACTTCAGAGAAAATTTCTTGAAATATCTTCTCTGTGTGGGTGTTAAAAGTGAATGTTCCAAGAGGCCACAGAGAGTAAGATTAGACAGATGTTGTCAGCAACATGACCACAAGAAAAGTTGCAATTGACCTATTATTAATACTGAGCTACAGAACAAACTATGTTCAAGTAACTTCAGGGATTTGACTCAAACCCACAAAAGTAAAGAAATTCAGACATCAGGGTGAAACTCCTTTATTGAGCCAAATCGCTCTGACACATGATGTATGTGTTGTGTCTGCCCCGGGAGGCGCGGGGGAAAGCCAGCTCTGTCACTGGGTCCACCTCTCCCCAGGAAAGAGAACACTGTATTAGCTACAGCGATGCCTAGATTAAAAAAAAAAAACTCATCTCAAAATTTTTCCATTTTGAAACTACTCTACAGGCCAATAAATTCCAGTCTGACAAAATCTGTTACGTCATTTAGGTTAAATAGTTGCCACCTTGCACCACGCTACCTAGGTGTTCCCACTGTAACAACTACAGCAGCCTCCCCCACCCCTTGCTTAAAAATTCAGAAATGCTTAAATGATTCCATCTGTCTTTAACAAACGGACCAAAACCCATCTCTGTACTGACAGCAGATTCTGTCTGGTGTGGAGAGCCTGATCTTTGATCACACCCACGAGGCTGGACAATGGCGTAAAAACGATGATGCCAAAAGGTGAAGTCGAGTTAGCAATGAAAAAGGGGCTCTTCCTTAAAAAAGGAGCTGGCACGCATTAATGTTTCTTTTTTGAGCTTTATCAATTTTCTGCTATTTAGGTTCACACGGCAAGATAAAAAAAATATTGTTTTGTTGTTGTTTGTTTCTTTCTTTCCTTAATAAAGCTCCCAACAAATGACTACAAAGGCCGCAGGAGAGCATTCTCTCTGATTTCTCATGGAGTCATGGAATTGGTGAGGGTGGAAGGGACCAGCTCAAAGCACGGTCACCCAGGACCGTGTCCAGTTGGGCTTTGAGTATCTCCACGGACGGAGACCCCACAACCTCTCTGCAGGCAAAGAAACGTGCAGAAAATACACGTTAAGTTTTAGAAATACAACGTAACAATGATTCTGATGAATGCTGTCTCAAAAAATGCGGTGTGAAAAAATGTGATATTCCAATAAATTTCACTGAAACAGCTAAAGCCACAATTTTGGATAAGTTTTGCAGAGAATGAGACTTAAAAGTGGCTGAAATCAGGACTTCTAGAATATTTTGAAGTGCTTGTTAAACAGTAAAGTTTGCAGTTTCTTGTCATCCTCTCACTGATCACCTCTGCCTAGTCTGAGGCTTCTAAAACCAATTCTTTGTAGTGCTTTTATTGATTTAAAAAGAGTATTATTAGACTATTGCTCCTATTGCTGAGAGCAGGCATTCTGCTGGGGTTGCGAAGAATGAGAGGAATGACACCTCCACATAAATCCTTGTGGCAATTTTCTTATTATTAAAAGCTTAACTTCTGGTTGCATCTCTGTCATTTTTCACACTTCAGTACTGCCCGTCAATCAAACTCAAAGCTGAAATATTTAAAAATCATCCTGTCTTATCATTTTTAAGCATATATGTAAATTCAACCCACGTTTTCGTCTTCCATGGTCAGAAGACTACACTGGAGAACAAAAACTCAAGTCAAAACGGGTTGGTTTCGGGACACCCACATTCTTCAAAGTGTGATTTTGGGCAGAAGAACTGAACTGGCTGGAGCACCCACAAACGTCCAGATGGCACGGCTGGGACCGCCATCCTGCCATCAGCTCTGCCAGCAACACCTCCACGAGACAAGACATGCAAGTCCTGGTTGGTGAGTTTACAAGATGTGGTCATTGATGGGACATCTTACCTTTGCTTCGCACCAACTGACAGAGGACTCAGTCCTCTTGGGTCTTCAGATGAAAAAGTAGATGAAAAAGATGAAACTTAGAACTGAAAAAACCCACACCCGTTTTCTCTGTGTTATTTGAAAGGTTAAAATCTGCAAGTAAGACACTGGATGTTTGATTTGGGAAATGGTTATGGCTCCTCTTGATGGTCAAGACCCACACTTAAGAGCAGAAGTAATTACACTTTTCACCAAGTTTCCAAATCAGGTGGATTCACGTGAGGTTCCTGCCTCCTCGCTGCCTACCTGCGAGGATTTAGCCAGCTTCTGACCGTACTCCTTCTCCGTCTGCTTCAGCCGGCTGTTTGCCTGAAACACACACAAAAGGCAACCAGATCAGCTCAGAGGAAGAACGTGTACAGACACTTTGCCACCGACCCCTCCGCTTGGCACCTCATCCAAATGCCTATCGCTGAGCGGCCGGGACCCGCGCCAGCTCCAACGCCCTTTCGTGGCAGCCAAAAAACCGCGAGGGCTTGCCTTTGATCTCGGGCCAACTATTCATCACTTAAAAGAGGGGAGAAATCGTACCTCTGCTGCCAATTATTAGAAAAACATAAAGACTTCTGCGGACTAGAAAAAAAAAGAAAAAAGAGAGAGAGAGAGTGTGTGTGTGCGGCGGGGGGGGAGGCAACACACACTCAGGAGTTTATCAGGGGGGCTTCGTTTCTGAACGGAGGGAAAAAAGGTCCCAGGCAGCGGCTGCCAGGGAGCAGCGCGACTCGGGGGACACGACGTCGGGTCTCAGTTGGTGGCTGCAACTCCTTTTGTCCCATCGCACACCCCTTCCTATTTAAAGGGGGTGATTGCACTGGAAATCGACCCCAACGTGCAGCTGAACCGACCGGGAGCTCCTGGACGCACAGCTCCTTCCTTCTCCTTCCATTTTGTTTACAATTTAGAGAGAAAGAATAAGACAAACTGAAAACAAGGCTGCTTTGTCACAGTGGAATCCAACAAGCAAATATTTATATAATTCCTGGGGAAAAGCAGGTTTTTTTCCTCAATTTAATTTCAGATACCATTCAATTGTAACAATAATTCAAAAGCAATTTCAATTTAATTTCAGGACGCAATTCTGTATTTTCCTTGCAAAGTGTCACGTTATTACATAGACTGACCACCCTCAAACTGCTGTCCTCAAATGAACTGCTAAAGCGCTCTCATCTTCTTGGCTCTAACATTTGAGGACAGGTATCTACGAAAAATATTTTCTTAGGGTGGACAGAATCTTACGAGGCTGAGTCTGAAGCAAACTTAAGCTGATTAAGTTTTCAAAATCTGCCTGACCTCGTGTTCAAATCTCTGATCTGTGGGCCCATGTTTCACACAGCGCATCCATCCAGCACCGGCTCCTCCCGCTGCCGGGTCCGGGGCCACGGACGCCCCTGAACCCCCCTCAGCTCCAGCCCCAGGACTGAGGACACCAGTTCTGACCACACCGGAGGCTTCACCCGGGCAAAGAGTCTGATGGATTTTACTGGGCTGTAAATTGAGAGGGTGACAGCAGCAGACAGTGCTTGCCAATCCCCGCCAGGCGCGACAGGGCTGGCATCGCGGAGCAGCGACGTGCGGCGCAGCTCAATCTAAGCCTCTTGCAGCCAGAGAAAAACAACCTTCCAGTTTACATGATTCTCCAGTTTAAGATCTTGAGTCCCTTCAAATTCCAAGATCATGAAACATATGGAGGTCTCCATATTTCATCTCTTTGTTGGTATTAAGAAATCTACTAAAATGTTAATCAAAACCAATTCTCAAAAATTATGAATGCATTTGATCACATGCTTTCGTTGGTTGGTTGTTATAAATAGGGATAATGGCACTACATATTGGTTTAAAACAGCATATACAAGAATTCTGGACCACCAGACAAATTCAGCTCTACTTCTACATTTATGAAGGGTGCATCAACCCCGTGAGGGCCCGTCGTGGGGCTGCAGAACTGACGAGGGAAATAAAGAGAGCCCAGTGGTGCCACAGCTCCGGCCGGGCTGACCCACAGTAACACTCTTCCACCCCACTGACCTCCAGTTTCAGGTTATGTTTTACCACCACTGCATACCATAAAGCAACTGGAACTGCCAGTTTATCTTTAGGGAAAAAAGTAAAAAATAAACGGCAGCGATAGTATAAATTGTTGTTACTCCCAGAAAGGGCTCGGCAGAAGATCACATTACTGCTGCTCTCGCCCGGCTCGCCTGGGGTAAAAGTCTTCATCTCTCATAGAAGCAGCTTTATAACCCCCTGAACCCATAGAAGAAATCCCAATAAATAATAAAAAAAAACCACTCATAACTTTCATAAACAAATTAAAACTTGTTTGCTCGCACTGAGTAGAGCCAGGACGACCTCCGATAGCCACAACAGGCGATCCAAAAGGAAGATAGGCTGAATTTCAGTGTTTTAGTCCTAATTGAAGGCAAAGAAAGTGATCCCACCAGCTTATTTAAAGGCAATTGCAACATTGTAAAATGGCATTAACAAATTCCAATTAGCTAAATATTTATAAGTTGTCTCCCAGTCATCAACAAACCACAAATTCTTGCATTTACTCGCAGTTCCCAATGTCCTCATTTGAGGGGTCTGAGCCTCAGCAGCATTGAGCTCCCAAAGCTTCCACTGGAGGTACCAAACCCACATTCAGACGGGCACTGGCTGCTCAAACTGGCTACCTCGGCCCTGTGGCACTGACAGGGATGGACACGGCCTGACACGGCCTTTCTCCCCAGATCGTGGCTCCGCTCAGGACCAGGCCAGGGAGCTCCAGCTCCTGCAGCTGGTGGGCTGAGCAGGTCTGATCCACGGCGATGCACAGAACACTCTATTCCATCTTCTTTTACGGCAGAAATAGAAAACTTTTCCCTTTTTAAAACCTGAGACTAAACTAATTTAATACCTCTTGACTCTAGGCTGCTGCTCCGCAGCCGAGGCCTAAACCTGCTCCCCTGGGGCACACAGCGCTGCCACACACACAAAAAAGTGCCTTTTAACTTATTTCTCTTTTTTTTTTTTTTAAAGAAGTGCCTTCCAGCAAAGTAAATAGGCATAGCTGTTACCGTGAACGTGGCGGAGGATTTATATTACATTTATTTCGACAAACGAGGAGGTTACACATGGCAGGGCACAGGCAGCAGCTTCCTGGGCTCCTCCTCTCCTCAGGGGCTGATGGCTCCAGCATCGTTCCGGCACAAGCCCCTTCTGGCTTGTTTTAAGGGCATTCCCCCGCTGTCGGGTTACGTGCTATTTCAGAAACATAATGAATACAAATCCAACTGGAAGGTGAGCATTTGGAGGGTCAGCCAGTATTCATTAAAGTCTAACTCTTTTTATAGCAATGGGCAGCACTGCAAATACAGTTAATGGTCTTCAACTAGTCTTCGTGTGCCAGAGGGAGCTGTTGAAATTCACGCTTGGCAAAAATTTGTCAGAAATATCAATTGTAATATCCATTTTTGTAATAAATAGGTTTAAATTGGATAAGCCATAGAGGAATCCCACTGATTCAGAAATTAACTTCTGTTTAGTTTCACACAGCTAATACATATTTTAGCTAAAATTATCTGATTATGACAATTTTACATGCAGTTATTTTATATTACAGACTGAGGACTTTTGCATTATAAAGATTATGTCCTTGTTACAGTTAATTGGTTTTAAAAACCAACTATAATTCTATAACCAAATATAATTCTATATTAAAGCATCATATTGTGGTTGCTGAGCAAAACTGCACCGACTTCACCAAAACATTTCAGGTAGAAATCACAAAGGGCACTAGCTGTGGAGATGTGGCACCTGAACTCAGGGATGCTGTTCTAACACGGGACACTTGGCATTTTTTCCTTTCATGAAACACAACGGCATTACTGAGAATAAAAGAGCAAAGGATCTAGGATGGGAGCACACCGCAAAGGCATACCACGTCCTGTTCAGTTTACAGTTGGACTCGATGATCTTAAAGGTCTTTTCCAACCTAAATGATTCTACAATACTATGTCTCCCAGCTTTGGAGTGGTGATTTTTGGATAGAAAGTTAAATTTCAACTATGCTAGGAAAACTAACTTCTACAACCCAAAGATGGATAGATCTCTAAGAGTGAAAGATGCACAGTGACATCCTGTTCACCTATATATGATTGTGACTGATTTCAATCTCCCCAAAACATAAACAAACAACAACACCCCCACAGGTATAACTCTCGTAAACGGGAGGGTTTTATACACACACTCATATTCACTACCAGAAAAGCAGTTTTAAGAAATCTGTTTAGGGCACTAGCAATGAAATAGCCATTTTTCAAAACGCCTGCTACTAGCTAAATGATGGCTGCACGTAAGCTGATCCTCCATAATTAGTTAGATAAAAGTGTAAGCAAAATAAAAAAAAAAAAAAAAAGGAGGAAAAAAATCAAAGGGTGGGGGAAGGAGAAGAAAGAAAACTTGCTCCAGGGAAGAAGCAACTGTTCTCTGATGTGCAGCAAAGAATTTAACATCAAAGAACTAATGTAAATGGGGCCCATTTACCTTAAAAAACAACACAGCACTCCACATTCTGGAATATTTCTGTTTAAGTTTGACAGCATTATGCTTTGTACCAAAATTCAAGATTGTGTAATTTGACAGATGTCAAAAGAAAATGACCTTCAGAATGGCTAACTGTAGCAATTTCTGTTACTAAGTATGTTAAAACACTCTGTACAATATCTGTTTAGACTTCAGAGATTAGCAGATCACCTTTTAAGTTCATCTGATTGTACATAAAAATTTCATTTTGACCTCAGCCCCTGAAACATATACTTTCCTTATGTGCCTCTCACACCGACAGCGGGGGACGTCCTACGCCAATATTCTCGGTCTTTCTGCTGCTCTCCCCCCCCATCAGAAGCAAACGGAGAGCCCAATCTCCGTGTAACAGTGAAAAGAGCACACCAGTTCAAATGTGTAATTTGAGCCACCCAAAAGACCATTAAAAATAGTTCAATATCTGAAATGATGTTAACAGAATAATTAGTCAAATACCAAATGACTTCAAGGGTTTTGAAAATGAATGATAGAAATCCCAATCTGTCATACCCACAAATCCTATTAATATTGTATTTTACATTCCACTTTTCTAGGTCTATAAATCTTTCTCATTTTTTTTGTTCTTCTTTAAACATACATCTTTAGGAGAAAAAACCCCTCTTATTCATGTGCTAAGTACTTTTCATTGGGAAAAAACCAAGAATGAATAGAAATGGATTTGACACTCTACCTGTATGGAGAATTGCCTTTCCATGGTGTATGTGCTTAATGGGGGCCTATGAAAA